AGTTCTCAAAATCCGTGCTCCCTTCCAAAATCGCACGCGCTTTTTCTCGGAGACATGACGCTAATACGACAACCTTCTTCGCGTTTCCCAAATTATTCGCCCGCGCAATTAAATTAAACTGCGTAAGATATTCGCGCAACGGAACACTACCGTCATAAGTATCAGACTTAAGTTTCAAGTCGGAACTAAAATTTGAAAAAGGAAATGACTGGCCTGATATCGGACGTTACGAAATCTCTTCCTGCGGACCGGGCATTGAAGATATTTCTGTCTCTCGACGAGCGCGCTCCTCCCTCAGAGAGCGAAGCTCCTCCAGCGTTAAGCGAAGAATCTCCTCCAAGTTCGGAGACGCCTCCGGCCCTTCCGCTCGAGTACAGGCTCTTTTTCTTGCAGACACTCTCCGACCTTTCGCCTCTTTTTGTCCAGTCCCCGTCTCTTCCGTTTGTCGCTCCGCCATTATCTCACACACACACACACACACATACACGCACGCACGCACGCACGCACGCACGCACGCACGCACGCACGCACGCACGCACGCACGCACGCACACATACACACAGATCGAAAAATTCAATCCCGGACGAGCCCCCAAAATTGTCGCGTTCGCGACGTTACTTCCCAAGATCGCGATACTCGGCGGAGCGCTTTCGGAAAGGAAGAACACTGTTTAAAGAAAAGCTCCCTCTTTATTAAACCAACAGTACGAAATGCGTCCGGTCACCGCGGAATCTGGCCGTGAAATCTGTAAAAACAGTCGGAGAACGACGCGTTGCCAAGGGCCGATCCTCTATTCAAACTCTTATCGATTGATATTTATTAATTTCAGCAGCGCCGAATGGAACACCACACGGCCGCAACACTATCAAAACTCAGCCTAAATCAATAAAATTAATTATTGGGAATAAGACCAGAGCATAAAAAGACATTTCTGATCTAAAATACATATTGCAAAAATCAATTTTGCAATTGTTATAAACTAATTAAAAATTGATTGTGAAGAAAAATTGATTAGGCCAATCGATTGTACGCGAAAAATTACTAAAGAAACACATATATAACTCTTTCTTAAATCATTCTTTGTTTATATAAAAAAATAGATTTTATTAAAATTTATTTCTACCAAGAATAGCTAAAAAATAACTATTAGAAATATAACTGGAGCATAAAAAAACATTTCTGATATAAAAGGCACATTACAAAAATCAAGTTTGCAACTAATTGTTATAAACAAATAATTTTTTACATAAACAAAGAACGTTAAGAAAAAGTTTATATTGTATGTGTTTCTTTAGTAATTTTTCCCGTACAATCGATTGATGTAATTAATTTTCTCTACAGCCAATTTTTAATTTATTTATAACAATTAATTGCAAAATTGATTTTTACAGTGTTTTTTTATATCAGAAATATCTTTTTATGCCCCGATTCTATTTTCAATAGTTATATTTTGGCTATCCTTACTGGTCAAGGCATAGGTTTTAATGGCTTAAATCAGGGCTCGGAGTTAAACATTTTGGCCTGATTTCGGCCTTCTTTGCTAAATTATTTGTATTATACATTTGAAATTAAACATCCTGTATATATTTTTAAAGAAGATATCTAAATGACAGTTTAGGACGAAAGACATACGGATAGCATATTTCTCCTACGGTCACTTCTGAGACTTCTGATTCGTTCGGCGGCTCCGCCGCTGAACCTCGAGATACACAACATGATATTTTCGTATTCTTAAAATTTGTAAAAATTACTAGATTACTAGATCTAATTGTTTCTGATAGTTAAGCAGTGACCATTATTTCAAGAATTATTTTACACTTTTACATGATTTGTTGAACAGATATCTTACTTTTTGGTATTTTTTACAAGTTTTAAGAATATGAAAATATGTTTTTAAACGGCGTCTACAATGAGATTTTAAGACGTAGAGAGAGACGTAGATAAGATTTAAGAAATTGGCCAACCACAATCGATTATTCTTCTATAAATCGATTGTGGTTGGCTAATTTCTCAAGTCTAAAGTCTCATTGTAGACATCGCTTTAAGGGAAAAGTACAAAATAAAGCTATACGCAAGAAACTTTTTATATGTCATTTCTCACCTTTGACGTTATACAACCCATGTCGCGCCGCGAGAGAACCAAGCCTTAAACCAATAGCATTCACTTCAAATGAATGATCTTTTATATTATTAAGAATCGGCAGTGACGAACTAACTTCGACTTGATCTAAAATGAGACTATTTACTTCTTATTAACAGTGCAGATATATATATATATATATATATATATATATATATATATATACCTGGTACTCAAATTATTATTTGTCTTATATAGAAACGATGTTTTGTTCATGATACTTTGTTCAGGATAATTCTTTTACAATTATGAAGGTTAATCTACAGAGCCAATTTTGCAATTTAACTCTTAAATAATTAAAATAAATGTAACTGTCTACTCCTTATTTACAGTGCAGATATATATTGTATTTGAGTACACCCATATCATATCTCATAGAAACAATTTTCTGTCATGAACTTTTTTCTACGTATTTTTTATAAAATTATGACTCTTGCTCTTTGTTCAAGAGCCGTTCAAGAGAAGGATTTTGTAATTTGGCTCTTAAAAAAATTTACAGTAAGTGAAAATATTTGCACTTTATTGTCCTATAGTGCAAATCTATTTACGCATAAATGAATTATTTATTTTCACACATTTTCTTACAAATCGCTCTGTAGTTTTTGTCAGATAAATAGTTTGATTATAAATATCGTAATTATTATATATAGTTTTTCTCGCAGTATTTTGGCCGTAATATAGATGAAAAGGAATTTATTTCCGATAGAGGTCTCCATACCCTAATAATACAAGGACGTCCTCAGGATATTCTATTAGATGAGCCAGATATCCTGAGGACTACTTATCATGATCCTGAAACGTAAACAGTAGTCCTGTGGACTAGCAAATGAGCGTAATAACGTCCTAAGGACGTTCTCCACTCAGCCTTAGGCTAAGGCTTTCTTAAGATGACTTTAGGATGATTTCAGGATGACCTCAGGGACATCCTGAAAACGATCGTGTTTCGATATTGATTGCTAGTACTGAAAATCTATAATATACATGATCTATAATATACACCTCTCACGGAAAAGATGTGGAAAAAAATGGAAAAAAAATGAGAGAAATTGATGAAACATCTTTTATCTCTTATCACCGCTTGTTTCTAAAGCTGATAATCTATCCACTTGGAGATCCTGCTCGATGTCACTTAACCTCTGGTCTATTGGGATGAAACTTGCCACTGAAATGAAGAAATAAGTGATTATAGGATTTCGACTTAAAATATGATAAATCTGGTTAATGAATGTTATTATATTGTAAATAAATAGTCTCAATTTTAAAATTTCGATTGCACATGTACTTCTTGTAGATAATTTAATTACATATATAGAACCGTGAACCTATATCATATTTAATGAGAATCATTTTTTTAATGAAAATTGTATATATTTTGCTTACTTGTTTATGAATTTGTTAATAATTGTATTAAATATGGGAAATATTTTTATTTATATATTATAGTTAATTAAGAAAGATAGTAATTAATAATGTTTCATTATTTATTCATTAAAAATGTCTAAAAAATGACGATTGAATGATGATATATTTATGCCGATAATATTTCGTGACAAATGTTACATTATTTTATGTCATTATTTGGTACACTGAGGACGAATAACGAAAAATGACCTTAAATCATCGTCAGTGTCGGTCCACAATAGGTGATTTAAGCTTTAAGAAGTAAGAAATTGACCAATTATAATCGAATATGAAAAGAATAATCGACTATGATTGGTCAATTTCTTACGACTTAAGATTAAATACTTATTGTGGACCGACACTCATAATGGCACCATCTTGCTAGTTAAGCTAAAACATGTTATTATGATATTTTTAAAATACGTTTTAGGACTGTGTCAGGACAATGTCAGGATTATCAACAATTATTTATTAAAAATGCGTTATACATAAATGAATCAAGCTTTATTAATTATAACTCGTTAGTTATACAAAATTAGTTATAAAAATTCTCATTTTGAACATATGAAATAAAATATACATATATATAATATAAACTAGAAACTCTTTAACGTAAATAATATTTTTTTAAGATAATTAATTTTTAAAGAAACTATATTTTTACTATATACTATACTATTTTTACTATTTACTATATACTATATAATGTATTTTTAACAAATAATTGTTAATAATCCTGACATTGTCCTGATACAGTCTTGAAACGTATTCTGAAAATACCATAATAACATATTCTGGATCAATATTGGTTACATTATGGACATCCACAGGATTACTGACGGATATGATTAAGATTTTTTCAGGACATCCTTAAGGATGCTTGTGGGATATTCTCAAGTTATCCTCAAATCATCCTAAAGTCGTCCTAAGAAAATTCTCAGGATAACCTGAGACTGAGAAGAGGACGTCCCGAGGACGTTTCCAAGTCGTATAACGCGCTTATTTGCTAGTCCACAGGACGTCCAAAAATTTTTGTCTTACAAGAGGAGGACGCGGACTTGGGATCACCGATTTTGAAAAGGCTTATATATATTAAAGTATTCTACTAGCAGAGTACTTGAGGAAAAAGGATAGGACGTCATATTCAGTTGTTTTTGAGAAAAATCGATTTATAGCGTTCCTTATATATTGGCCGCGTTAAACTCATTGTCGCCGAGATCAGATAGTTCAAGTGCTCGGCCCTGTACCAATCTCGACCCGGGTTCGATTCCTACCTATTATACTTTTTTTTTATCTAGAAAATATTTATTATATTATGTTAAATATGTATTATATTATTTTGTAAAATAAAATTAATTTAATTAACAATTGTTTATATTTAATTTATACTTTTATTTATACTTATAGTTAATTTTTTTGTTTTATATTTAAAATTTTCACTTTTAACTTCAATTAATAATTTAAAATAATTATTAGAGCACTCGAGCTACTCAATTTCGGCGACAATGAGTTTAACACGGCCGATATATAAGAAACGCTATAAATTTAAATCGGTTTTTCTTGAAAATAACTGAATATGGCGTTCTATCCTTTTACTCAAGTACTCTGTTAGTAGAGTACTTTAACATATATAAGCCTTTCCAAAATCGGTGATCCCAAGTCCGCGCCCTCCCCTTGTAAGTGTAATGTCCAACAATGTCCTACATATGTCCCGAGATATTCAGGACTTATACAGGATCATCCTGTGCTATTAAGGTAGGTTTCTCCTGCCGACCCTTAATTTTTGAACTTTTTGTCAGAGGAAACTTTTGATCAATATTATCTAAAACATAATTAAAACATATTTCAATTTCAGTCAATCTGACCGAAGCCACTTTTTTCATATAAAATGTGGAGTCATTTGTTATTTTTTATTACATGCTTTAAAAGATTTTACATTGTATTTTGATGAAAAGATGTTTTTTGTTTTCTTTTTTTTATTATTAGAAATTTTATTATTAGAATGATTTTCATTTATGTGCAATATTTATTATTTTAATTTAATTATATCATTCAATCTTCAATAATGTTTTTTTTGCTGAAATGTTTTTAGGAAGGAGGATAGTACTGTGTTTCCATTTTCTGTTTCTATTACCATTCCAAACTTGCTAAATTTTGTACTAGCAAATTTGAACGATGACTCTCATATCGAAGCTCTAATCAATATTTGTCAAATGGGAACTGGTGAAGCGCCAGATAAATGTATCGCTAGAACTCGAAGGTTATGTTTAGATATTATCGAGCAACTTTTACAGGATTACAGAAAATTAAGACGGCATTTAAATTTTTTAGATAAAAAAATTACGCGCAATAAACGTAAAATCATTCTACTTAAATTAGAACATATCAAGGACATTCATTTTATTCTGGGTTCCATTGTTAATCTTAGCAAAGATCGAAAGAAAGTACAACTGATTAAGAGAAAGTTTTCTAAATATTATAATATGATTAGATTGCTAGAATTAGGTGAGAAAATGGAAAAACAAAATTATGAATCTCAAGATGCTACACATACATCAACTATTAATCGAGAGAGAATAAGAAATGAATTATGATATAGATTTCATCTTGTGATTCAAGATACATTTATGTGACACTAGATGTTAATACTTTTGGCTAATGAGTTCACATTCTAAGGAAGAAAGTTTTTATTTACATTTCTTTATAAATAATAAAAAAAACAAAAAAATAGAGTTAATGTAAAAGATTATACCCAGAATTGATTATAAAACTAGCCACAACTTTTGCGTTATAATAACTATAAAAGTGAGAATATGAAAAATCAATACAAGATTACATGTATAGAGTATTGGGATATTATAAAAGCAGAATATCTATTTAAGATTATAGAATTATATTAGATATATTTCTTCAAATTGTTGATACGCAAGAATCTGAATAAGCAATATTTATGGATATATATGCAATATTTTTTACGTAATTTTCTTAGATGTGTAAAATTTTTATGTACGCATTAGAGTTTACATATTTCTAATCTATCCGTTTCTAATTATGTTAATTTTAATAACCATTATACGTTTAGACTTTTCTTTACATTACTTCGATCGATTGATCAAGTAGTTAAATGGTTGAAATTAACAAAATGTGTAACAAACATAGTTGTATAATTATTACAAATTTCAATTTTTTGTACATACGATTATATTATCGTTGGATGTACATCAGAATTGTAATCCTAATAGAAAAACTTTTACGAGAAATCATAATAGGAAAATAAATTTGACTAACATTTAAATTGCAGAAAAAATTTATAAGACAAAACATATGAAGAATTTAGCTAATTAAAAGTAACAAAGATAGAATAAATAATTTTTTCTTTTGTCTGAAGGTAGAGACTTTAAATTAGATGTATGTTATACTATTTGCATTATTTGCATTATTAAACAATATTGCTTTAAAGCAAGATTATTAGCTTTATTATATCAATTAACTATTTTAAGTGAGTATTATATAAACAATTAAATTATAAGATTCAAAAATCAATAATACATACAATATCAAATTAATATTATTTAATATATAGAATTTGTATGGATACTATAATGGATACTATAATTAATATTACTAATTGATAATATAATTAATTATTAAAACTAAAATTTTATTTATTTTAAAATTGAAATGCTGTTGCAAGTACAGCAAAAATAAGCGAATTGGTAATGTAAGAATGTTTTGATATATAAATTGAAGGTCAAAAGATCCATTAAATAAATTTACATTCGAAAATGTACCACAGATTACAGAATATTTTAAAACTTAAAATTAATAATAACGCATTAATGCTATTAATTTTATGTCTAAAGAATATTCTTCATTTTTGCATAGTTGTTTTTTCAGAAAATTCAAAATTTTATATACTTTTACTTTGCTTGAGATATAAATGATCATCTCGATAAGATATAAAGAAATCTAACAAAAATTAATTATGTTTAATACATGTTATGTTTATGTAACATGTTTATATGTAACATGTTAATATATAATCAATTTAAATCTGTTTTTAATCTACATATTAATCTTATTTAAAAAAAGAAAACAATATAATATAAACAATATAATGAAGATAACTTATACATATCATTGAAAATTATAACTTATTGAATATTTAAATTCAAAGTTAGAAGATGTATAATAAACTGATTGCTGTAATTTTTCTTTCAATCCTTTTGAATCAACAATTAATACAAATCATTATAATTAATAAAAATATATTTTCCAACAAACCGATATTCCAACAAACTGATATAATATTTTAATACCTGAATTTTATTGTTTATACATATGAAATTTTATTTGCTATAATATTTCTAATTTATATAATTTACACATACATATGAAATTTTATTTGCTATAATATTTCTAATTTATATAACTTACACATAAAACTTTCTTCTACTTCACTTAAATCAGGGACAATTTATGAATCAAAGTTTAAATTTTTGTTTTAAGATTAAATTTCTATATTATTATTTATTTATTTTTCA